GATGCCCCTGAAAACTTTTTTTAAATTTAAAAATAAATATAAATAGAAGTTCTAATATTTTTTACATCCTCAATGAATCATTAGCTTCACTTTGAATATCATTGCTTAGAATAATCCAAAAGGTTAATACTAAATTACATCACAGAGGTAATTGCACCCAGAGGTAAGAGGGCTGGGCTGTTTGAGTTATACCAACAAGGGCTGTCCAGGGAAGGTGAAGCACAAGCTACCAGACATCAATAAGTCAGGTCAGACAAGGGCACGCCTCTGGAGAAGTGTTGGTGTGAGCTATTACCAATCAACACTTACAGAAGCTGGAGCATTAGTGTACTTGCCCAGTAAATGAAGTTTAGATAGGGAACAAATAGCTGCTACAATTCCTCTTTTACCACAGTTCATCGTCTGTAAGTGAATTCAGCTTCTTAATAAATCTCTTAAGAGGAAAAAATTTATTTGCTTGTAAGTGATTATAGACAATATAATTCCCATTGGCCTAGGCCTCCAGATCATCCAAGACATGATCCTGACTTTGATTCTTTGTCTTCTATTGCTCTGTAAATTCCCATAATAAATGGGACAGTTTGGGTAGAAAGTAGCAGAAACCCAATGAACAAGTCAAAGATAGGAAAGAAGGAAGGAAGGAAGGAAGGAAGGAAGGAAGGAAGGAAGGAAGGAAGGAAGGAAGGAAGGAAGGAGGGAAGATTGTTGGGAAAATCTAGAGATTCATTTGACTTCAGGTATAGTGGGATTCAGAGGCTCAAACAATGTCTTCAGGCTTTCTCCACATGGCAGATGACACAGCTTACATCTACTCTATAGTCATATGTTTTCAGGAATTAACTGAAGCAGGAAAAGACAATTTTCCATAATAGTACTGATGAATATACAATAACTTTAATTCTAAAATTTTAACCTCTAACCCAGATATCTCTGAACCCTAGACTTGTGCATTCAGTGGTCTACTTGACATTTTCACTTGGATCTCTCATAGGCATCTTGATGTTATATCTAAATCCAATTCTTAAAAGTTGTTCCCTTTCTCATTCTCTAATTCCTATTTTTTTTCCACTCAGCCAATGACATCACGGTCCATCTAGTTGCTAGAATACTATTCTCCCTTATCCTCATGTCTAATCCATTCACAAATGATGTTTCTACTTCTAATTCACTGTCTCCATCTTGAACCTAGCTAATGTGATCCCTCATATAGGCAGCTCACCATAATCATTGCTTCCACTCAAGCTCCCTCTAATATCTTGCCTACATAGCAACCAGATGACCTTTTATAAACATATATATTACTTTGCTTAAAATTTCATAAGTGATTTCCAAATGTACTTAGAATAAAATCCCAGCTTTTTATGAAGTCCTCTAAGGAACTTAATGCTCTGGCTCTCCTCCTTGCTCACTGTTCTCAAACCATATTGGCCTTCTTTTTGGAGGCTCTGCACATTCTGTTCCTTCTACCTGGAAGATTGTCCCATGATCTTACTCTTTTTGTTGCTTATTCCATCTGATCTTTCAGATATCACTTAAATGTCCTTCCTCTGTTGTTACATATTCTCCTGACAGTAGCAGAAAATCTGTAGAGCTTGCCTGACTTATTTTCATGGGTGGACCTGGAAAGGGATTCCCTAGCTGGCATCCAGTAACTACGGATCTTTCATGAGGACTTAATCTGCATGCAGTTCCCAGCCAGAGGGAAGGTGCAAGCTCAAGCTTGTGGAAGATAGTAACTGGATGTATTATTAGAGTCACAAGTATTGTTTTAAACATGTCATTTTGGTTTTTGATGCTGGAGTACAAACCAAGGACTCCAAGTGGGATCTGATTTTAAGGTGAACTTTTTTCCCATTTTAGCTTAGACTCTATCTTGTTTTAAACAGAATAATCTCTAAAAAAAAATCTATTCTTAGGTTTCAACCATGAAAAAGGAAGGATACAACTAGTTTTTGTAATTTTGACTAAATGTAATATTACTGAGTTCTCAATAGAAAAATATAAACAGTAAGTTAATTTTCTCCAGAAATTGCTTACAGTGATGACTAGGTGTCCAAAAAGGAACAGTTTTTCAGAAGCAGATAAAAAGCAACCTCCCAAGAGATGATCTTTTATGAGGTTTAGATTCAGGGAATAAAAGATATATCTGAGGTCTTCTTTAAGGGTTTCCTGCCTCAGGACTCTCCACCCACAACCAACCTGAACATCTGTCATCAGGTATATAAGTGTATAAGGGTTGTCAATGTCACTTAATATACTTAAGAACACAAGATCTAACACCAGATTCCCTGAGTTTATATGCCAGAACCAGCACTTTCTATGCCACCTTAGGCAAGTGTTCTGACACAGTTTCTTTATCTTTAAAATGAAGCTGATAAGAATTAAAAAAATACTTTACTCCTAAGGTGGCATAAGGTTTAAACAAAGGAATTGGCTCAATGCATACCCTGTAGTATGAACTTAGTACACGTAAGCTATTATTAGTGGGCATACCAATACCATACTGTACCAGAATCTATCCATTTTTAAAACAGAGGTCGACTCCTCAGGGAATGATAATCTTGCTAATAATCACATTTTAGTTTGAATAGATTCTTAGCACTTTCTTATACTCTGATATGACAGAATCCTAATCCTTTCCCCAAATGCCATTATGTGCACAGTTCAGAATTTCAGAGGACATTTATATAAAGTGCTGGAGACCTTAACATCAGGTTTTCTCCCTGTTCCCTGAGATATGGAAATAAAATGAGCTCAGAGAAGCTTAGTGAAATCATAAGTGACATAACTCAAAAGTGATCCAAACCCCTGAAAGGACCATACAAAAGGGGTCACCACTGGAGTCTCCTGGCTCCCACCTTGCTTTAGATTCCCATGGATTTCTATTTATACTCGGCAACATGACCTGCAGATAAAACAAAACAGTGTGTTATTATCTTCTTCCCTTTACCATATTGTTCATTCTCAATTCATTTATTCATTCATGGACTTATTCAAACATGCATTGAGGATTTACTGTGGGCCAGGCAGTGTTCCAAACACTGAAGATAAAAAGATGGATTAGACACACTCCCTACCATCATATAGTTCACAGTCTGGAGGGAGAAAGGCACAGCTGTGAACTGGTATGATAAATACTATAACAGCCTCATGTGCAAGATGCTGGGGTGGCCCAAATAAAGGAGTGTTGAACTTTGAGGAGGGCAAGTCAAAGATAACTTATTTGTCCCTGGAGTGTCTGGATGGTAACAAAATTGTCATTAAAGGAATTGCCAGAGGAAAGAAGTGTATTGTAGGAAGAAGACATGAATGTGCAAAGCCACAGAGGTATGAACCAGTCGAGTGGGATTAGGAAAGAGTAAGTCATTCAGTAGATAAGAAAATGGGTATTAAAGAGGGCACGTACTGAATGGGGCACTGGGTGTTATACGCAAACAATGAATCATGGAACACTACATCAAAAACTAATGACATAATGAATGGTGACTAACATAACATAATAAAATAAAATTTTAAAAAAACCCAAAAAATCAAATCTTTCAAAAAAAAAAAAAGAAAATGGGCTTTGAAGGTAGAGGCAGGGCAAGGGTTGATGAAGGCATAAGATTATGGAGCTCACACTGAGGGAGACATTGGGCTTGAAGCAGGAGCATAACATACTCAGATTTGCACTTTAGGGATATCATCCTGGTTGGTAGCATTGTGGGGGGGAGAGGACAGAGTAGAATCACAGAGAGTACCAGTGTGGTGATACTGCACAGGTCCAGGCACAAGTTTCTCAGGAGCTGAATTCAGACCATAGCAGTGGAATTGGAGGAAGGGAGGGAGATTCCATATTTAGTTGATAAAATCTACTGAACAGTGTTACTGGTTTAAAGGAGTCGGGGAGAGGGGGAAATCTTGTGGGGAGGGAGGCAATATTCCCCTTTCCCAGAGGATGTAGTACTGGGGGCAGGGCAAGATTTACCGGGAGGTGGACCTTATGTAAACTTATGTGGACCTGTGATTTCTCATTTCTGACTCTTAGTCCAGTGCTTTTTACTGTGAGGTACTGCCTCAACAGTCTTTTGAGAATTAGGTTCCAGGAAATCAGCTCACTGAACATCCAAATCCTTCAATGGCTCAGGCTGGAAAAGCTGAGTAATAAAATGCTGATGGTATGGAGTGTGGTGAAACTTATTCCCAAAGCTGGTACCAGTTGTGAAAGCCTGCCTGCCACAGAATGGTGACTAACAAGTGAGGGTGTCAGAGTCAAAGGACAGTATTGTTACTTATTGTGTCAAATGCTTTAGTGATGGGATAATCATTTAAGAAAGAAACGAGTTGATACAAATAGTGGACTAGTTTCCATATTTGGGAATAAGACAAATTTAGGGTGGGTTTTCTTAAAAGTGAGGACGCTGGGGCGCCTGGGTGGCTCAGTCGGTTGAGTGTCCAACTCTTGATTTTGGCTCAGGTCGTGATCTCAGGGTCGTGAGATCCAGCCCCGCATCAGCCTCCTCACTGGGTGTGGAGCCTGCTTGGGGTTATAACTCTCTTCCTCTCCCTCTGCCCCTCCCTACCCTGCACGGGCTCACTCTCTCTCTCCCTCTCAAAAACATAAACTAATTAAATTAAATTAAATTAAAAGTGATGATGCTGCTTTTAAAAATAGCACAGATACTTAAATTAATTTGACAATAATCAAAATGAACATTATCAATAGTTTACACCCAGCAAGGTGTGAAATGTGTGATAAACATTATTTCATTTAATCTTCAAAACAACTCTGTGAGGTGGATACTGTTGTTATCCTGTTTTACAGAGGCTTGACAAAATTGCACAATTTTGTTAAGGTTATTCGTTTCTACAGGAATTAGAACCTCTTTTAGTCTTACCACTATGATAAACCAGTTCCAATCTGGGAATAAACCAAAATTGTCTTTGCCTCAACTCTCTAGAAAAGAGAAGGAGTAACATTTTTCTTTTGACTAATACTCTCATTTAATTTTTCTAACCAGATATCTAGGATATTTCAACATTCTTCTGGAGGAGATCGGTTTATCAAATCTCATGTTATCAAAATGAGGTATGTAAATTTAGTTTGCAACTTCAAACCAGTACCCTTAAGAAGCACTCCATCAACATGACTGCCCAGCTTCTCCAGGCAAATCTTTGCAGGAACACAGAGATTTCATAAATCCTGAGCAGTGCAGCTTATACTGCATAGACATTTCCCAGTTACAATAGGAAGATGTAAAGTGCTCTATGTCAAGAGGCGATGTCAGTTATTAGACATTGGAAGGGGAGGAATGGCACTGGAATGGCACCTGCTCCTTCAGCCCAGGGCTAGGTAGAATGTAGACCAGCTCTTCTTGATTATCCTCATTCTAAGCTTATCCAACAACAACAGATGATGACTTTCTCTGCAATAAGGTTTTTCTTTAATGCCACTGGATTTTTATTATTATTTCTAATACCTTTTCATTTTTATGTTCTGATAAAAGGCAATATGCCTAAATTGAACATATATTTGTTGTAAGAGACTCAAATAAATTATCAGAATCCATCTCGAATGTACTTTTTATATGATGTCCAAAATGCTTGGCATTTGCTGGAATAATATATCTTGTTTTCTGCCTATTTTGATGAAAAATTTTAAACTTTTTCTGTGGCTATCAATCAATATACAAATATAAGTATTTGTAATACTTATTTGTCTGCTTCACTTCTTGATGGTAGAGTACATATACATGTGGTTAGGGAGCCCCTGCCTTTTCTTCTCTCCTGCTCTCTATTTTTATTCCTTCCTTACTTTGCTTTCTCCCTCCATCCCTCCCTCCTTCCTTCTTTGATTCTTTATCTGTTTTAAGGTTAATTCATCCTCAAAGGTCAACTAGAGGCTTTCTAAACCTACACATTATAGTATAATATGTGATCCCTTTATCAAAAGATTTCCTTTAATAAGTGTTTTCTGTAATTATCCACTTATCAAATACATATTAACTGACCATCATATCCCCCCAAATAAATGACTTAATACAATAAAGGTTTACTTCATTTCCATGGAATAGTCCAAAGAGTCGGGAGTGGCAGCAGGGATGTGGGTGCTGGGAGAGATGTGGAATGGAATTGCTTACTGGATCTTCAGCATCTGGTTGGCAAATACAGGAAGAGTGAAAGCATGGAGGATGGTATGGGAGATGTCAGGGGCCAGGCTGGAGATAAGGTGCATCATTTCTGCCCACATTCCATTGTCCAGAATTCACTTGAGTTTCGATAAACTGCAAAGGAGGCCAGGAAATGAAATCTTGCTCTGTGCTCAGGAGGAAAAGGTAACTGGGTTTCATGAACACAAAGCATTGTCTCTGTCATACCAGTACTGAAAAATTATCTTGGTTATGATGGCTCAGAATGTCTTGAAAAGCAAATTGTTTAAGTGCATATAAAGCATGATTTCATGAACATCTCCTCCTCTCCCACTCTCCCCCACAGGCTATGAGCTAAATAAAGAGCAAGAACAATTTTTTTCAGCTACATATCTGAGCCAGTATTTCTCGAGATAATTTAGAAATTTGATGTACATGTATTTCATCCATTGTTTTTTAAAATTTAGTGTGAATCTTAATAGGTAAAAAGAGTTAACGATTAGAGAGGTGGCTTTATCTGCTTTTTTGCTCTTCAGTCCAGATGAACATGGCGTGAAAATTCTTATGGTGCTCATGTTTCGATACCCATCTACTGATAGTACTGAGCGAATCAAGAAAAAAATTGAAAGGATTTTATATCAAAGTCTGAAGACAAAACAGTTGCCTTTGACTATAAACAAACCTTCCTTTACACTCACATGTAAGTCCTTTTACCATCTTTGTGATCCCCTTGTATTCCTCTTTACTTTTCATAAGAATTTAGGTCAGTATCTTCTCTCATTTTAAGACTTCACCACTGATATACACATATCAGTGTGGAATAAAATTAAATAAAAATTCACTATAAGGCAAAGTTTAATTTTAGGAATTTATTTTCATATTTGATTAGGGCTTTTGCTAAGGTTTCTAAGTTTTTTCCGATATACTATGTTGGATCTTTTCAAAAGCATGAGAGGGTAGGTATTATTTTCTGCCATTTTAAGGAAGCTGAGACTCAAGGAAAATATAAGACATGGGACTAGCCAGCCTTGCGGCCAAAACTGAAGTACAGGTGTTCTGACTCCCAGAGATCTTTACAGGTCAGTTCCCAGGGTTAGCTTCTACAGTATTAGGGAAACAAACACCTTTATGAAGGTTTACCCCCAGAGGACGAACCATTGACATGATCTATGAAGAGGTTCTCTAGATTATTTCCAATTTAAAACTATGTTTCATTCATTTCGTCATTTATTCCTCACAAAACAAAATCAGAGAAGTTTTGGTTTTCCCCCAAAGTAGAAGAAAATGAGGTCACAATGTTAAGAAATTAAAACTACTTCGCAGCTAGTTGGAATCCAAGCTGAGAGGCCTAATAATGTGTTCCAAATGTTAAGTCTCAAGGTCAGGTACTGTGCCTTTTTAGTTCTTTACCCCTCCCCCCAAACACGAACGTAAATCTCACACACAACAGGTATTCCAGTTGTGTTCACTGTTCTGATTAAGTACTTCAAGGGCAGCTTTTTCTGATTTATTACCAAGAAATAAGGCTTGCCCTTTGGACTGGAAAGTCTTTTCCCCTCAAAGCATCCATGAATTTAAGAAAAAGATTGTCTAAAGGTAATTTCTCTGTTGTTAGAAATCAGGAAAATACTCAAAATCCATTTTGAGATAGAATCCTTGCACGCATTAATGACAATTTTCATGAAGTAATTAGAAATAATGAAGAGAATGGTACCTACCTTAAGTGTTCATTATATTCCAAAGTAAAGCATATTTTTCAACATTCTATAAATGGCAATCTCAAATTAAATTTCAATTTCTGATAATATAATTGTCCCTAATGCATGATCATTTATGCTAACATATCCATCATAAAAGATATGTTAAATGTTTTTTTTTAGAATTCTTAAAAAATAATTTTTACAATTTTTAAAAAAATTATTTTTCAGACTTCTTGGTCATGCACACTGAATTTTTATTACACAGGTTTGTTTTAATATCAGAATAACTCTATTCTATGACTATACTCAATAATCAAAATTCTACTACAAATATTTTCTTCCACCACATACCTATCTCCTGTTAAATAAGGAGAAGTGAAATGTCCAGGAAACCTCTAGTAGTGTTTGAGGCTCACATCCCTCTCTTGGGGAGGTCAGTGGTCCTGAGGAAATCATCACATACTTCTCTATTTTCTCTGTCAAATGAACAAAACAGAACAAACACCAAACCAAAAAAAAACAAAAAATGCAATGAAACTAAACGTAAACGAACACGAAGAGAAATTTGAAGGGAAAAAAGATGTCACAGAAGGGAGGCATAAAGTGGTATGGGTGGGGTTCCTGGACTGGCTGTATGTCAAAGAGCTTCTTCATGTCTCTGGTGCCTGCTGCCTGGGCTGCAACCTATTACAATATTCACCATGAGGAAGAATCCTCAGTGATAGAAGGCCATCAACTTGCACTGAGTGAATTCCTATCCTTTGTAGACTAGGGCTGGAAATCAGGCTGTGAGGGGCCTGTGATGCCCTTCGCTCCCTGGAGCTGCCCTTTCAACAGTGGCCATCAGGCATATGCTTGACACACATTGGCTGGTACATCTAATACAGTGAGCACCAGTTGGGATGGGAATTGGAGGTTGCATCTTCAAATTATACTGGAGCTCCCAAGAAGGCAATCAGGGACATGATTTAGCCTTATCATTCTTTCCTAATATTCTAATTTCTTTTTCAGATCTCATAGCAAAAATCAGAAAACGACAAAATGCTCTCTTTTCTTTTAAAGTAAAATTATACATTTTGGACCAAATCAAATCAGAGTTATGTATATATATTACTTGGCTATGAAAAATCTCATACCCTCTTGAAAAATGGATGCTTTCGATAATAAGCATTTCTTATAGTGACCATTTGAACAAAATCACATAAAAACAGGAACATATTCTTCTACCAACTAATTCAATGTTTTGCTTATTCCAGCTATTGACGGCAAAAAGATGATGAATCTTCTCAACAGCCGTAAGTTCCAAAACCCACAATGAACTGTTCATTTCATAGCAAAGATAATGAATAAAAGCCACAGAAAAGTTAGAAGTAGAATTTATAAAGCCTTTTTTGCTCATCTTATGTTTTTGTAAACCAAATACTCGGTGTTTTTATTACTGCTTATTTTTAGTATTTAAAACATTTAAATTTATAAATTTACACCAACTACAACTTCAAGGTTTTTTTTTTAAAGATTTTTAAATTTATTTTAGAGAGACAGAGAGAGCTTGTTCAAGTGGGGGAGGGGCAGAGGCAGAGAGAGAATCTCTAGCAGGCTCCCCACTGAGCACGGATCCCGACGCAGGGCTTGATCCCAGGACGCTGAGATCATGACTTGAGCGGAAAATCAAGAGTCAGTCACTCAACCAACTGAGCCACCCAGATGCCCCTACAATTTCAAGTTTTATGATTTTCAGGATGTAGTAAAAAAAAAAAAAATTACATAGTATTCTTGATACTGTAAGTTTTCTAACTATCTTTCTAACGTTGTATTTTAATATTCTCCCACAATTCAAGAGAATGTTTTAAAGTGGTAACTACTTAGGTTTCCTTCTGTTAAAATTTCTCAGTTTTCTTGCATTTTTGCTGAAATATCTGGCATGTACATTTTCTGCCTTCCCCCTTCCACTTCCTTTATCTCAACTTCTTATAGGATTATTGGGTCGTATACACTTTCCCCTATAAATTCTATACACATTATTCCATTTTCTACTAGTGTTTTGTTGTAGAGGAGAAATCTAAGACTGTTGTATTTTTTATTCTTACGTAGGTTACCTTTTTTGTCCTGGGATGAATGTAGGAAATCTTTACCCTATAACTTTTTGCCAGGAGAGTGAGTTGTAATTATATTTTGCACTGAATTTTGACTAGACATTATGAATGTTTTCAATCTGTATCCTATTTTTTTCTTGTTCTGGAAAAATGTTCTTCCATTATAAATTTGATGATTGATTTCCATTCCAATTGTTCTTTTTTTTTTTTTTTCCTCCCTCAGGAACACAGATGATTTATTTGAACTCCATTTTCTGCCCTCCATATCAATCATTATTTCTAGCTCCAGTTCGGGTCACTTTCCTCAGCATTCAGAAAGATCTGATCAATTCTGTACTCCCCAAAACCACTTATCTCAGTTGTCTGGTGTCACTTTTTCTCTTCTTCCATGTGGATTTTATATCTGCTATGATGTGCCTGTGATTTCTTGAACTTTATTTAATCACAGACAGCTCTTATGTGTACTCTCCTCACTGCATATTTTCCCCTTACGTTTGGCTGCTTTTGCATTACATTGGATTAGATTACATTAGATTACATTACATTAAGATCATGTTTTCTTGTACACCTTGGCTGATACCAAACACATGCCCTAAGATTTTTTGTAGAAAATAACTTTCAGAGATGTGTCTGTCTTTTGAGTTTATATATAATCTGATTTGGGGGGCCCTAACCATGCTGTATAGTTAGATGCAGGCTTAAGCTTTGATCCAACATGCAGAGTTTCCGAAAACTACATTGACCTCTCCGTTTGCACCAGCGAATGCAGCATTCACCGATGCCAGTGTTCTTCCTTTCACTGTTTAAACGACCTTCAGGAGGCATCTCAGTCCGTTCTTGGTGCTGTAACCAAATATCATAGACTGGGTGGTTTATAAACAGCAGAAATTTATTGCTCACAGTTCTGGAGGCTGGAAGTGTCAGATCAGGGTGCCGGCATGTGCCAGCCTGAAGTGAGGCACCTCTTCCAACTCACAGATTTAAAGTATCGTCCTGCCATGAGCAGAAGGGGCGAGGGATGTCTCTGGAAACTCTTTAATAAGAGACTAATCCCATTCATGACGGCTTCACCCTGGTGACTTAAGCATCTCCCAAAGGCCCCACCTGCTAATACTATGACCTCCAAGGGTTAGGATTTTAACATAAATTTGAGGGATTCACATTCAGACCGCTGCATGGAGTACCTATGTTTTCATAGAACTTCTTATCTTTCCTGTATCTCGTGATAGGATGGTGTGCCAGGAAATGTGGCTTCTGCATACATACAGAGGAAGAAATGAGTTTATGAGTCACAGTGGGATGGTTTAAACCATAGTTTCTGCTTGGCTAGGAACAAGTGCAGTGTAGCTTTGTTTCCTGGGCTGGGGAATCACAATAGCGGGGAGCCAAAGGCTTTGTCAAGCTTACCAGGATTCTCCACACAATTCTGGTTCACAGGTTAGAGCTTAGGTAGTCCAAGAAGTTGTTTTCAAACCCCGTTGGATATTGCAGTTTTTACCAGAATTTGTAACTTTTTTTCTCATCTTTCCTTAAGTTGTGGTGCTTTGAATTGATTCCTTTGCCTTTGAAAAATACCATAGACTCAGATTTTCCATCTACAATATGAGGATGACACCTACCATAGAGTTGTTGTGAACATTCGAGAAAATATATGTAACACTATGTATAGGACCTGGCTCAAAACTAGTAGATATTATTTATATTGGTATTACTTCTATGCCTATTTTAAGAGGAAGTTGGGAGAGGAAGTAAGTATTAGGCACTACCAATATGGCACTATATTAACCTAGAAATCTCATTTGTCCAATGTTATGGTCATTTTAAACTAGAGCTATTTAACTCTGAGGGAATTATTATGAATCTATGAATATGATTTCAGACATATATTTTTAACCTGTTTCTGAAAAAATTCCTTTTTGAAAAAAACTAGTATTTTTAATAAAAATATAAATAATTAAAAGGAACGTTAATAGGGGCTCCTATCTGGCTCAGTCGTTAGAGCACGCCACTCTTGATCTTGGAGTCATGAATTTGAGCCCCACATTGGGTATAGAACTTATTTAAAAAAAATAAAAATAGGGGTGCATGGGTGGCTCAGTCAATGAAGTGTCTGAATTGATTTTGGCTCAAGTCATGATCTCAGGGTCATGAAATGGAACCCCACATCAAGCTCTAGGCTCAGCACACTCTGCTTGTCCCTCTCCCTCCCTCTCTGCTCTTCCCCTCACCCCCCCCCACTGCTTTCTCTCTCTTAAATAATTAAATAAAATATTTAAACAAATAAATACAAAAATAAAAATAAAAGTCACATCAATAAAACATATCAATATGCTTTCAAGTCTTATTGAGGTTGATTTGAACTCTAACAAATTGAGGGTTTGTTGTCAGGGAATCAGGATTTTTTTAGAAACTAGACTTTAAAGTTTTAGAAAACCAAAAAAAGGTCATTGTTAAGACTGTTTAAATTCAGGGCTTGCAAAGACAATGTATAAATTCACGTCAAGGGGGAATCATGAACTGCATTCAGTACTGGGCTCTCTCTCAGGAGCAAGAACACAAATTTTGATGTAGATCTTCCTAATCTTATGTCACTTGCCAGCTGGGTTACCTCTAGCAATTTAAGTTCTCTTTCCAAGGCTCAGTTTTTTCATCTGAAAAGTGTGTTGCTATAAATAAAATCTAAAACATTTAGCAGAGGATCTATATATTTTTAATGCTCAACAAATGATTTATCTATCTCTCTATCCATATATGCTTAATAGAGAGAGAAGTTAATTCCCGGACTGGATGCCTTGACCTGTTAGTCAGTATTTCTTCTGAACCTCAACAGGATCAGGTTGACCCCTATGGACTAACCTCAGACACTGAGTCCTAGGAAAGGGATAAAAACAGAAGGCACAATGGACTGCCAAAGCATCTGCACCCAATGCAAATCAGCATATGCTCTTTTTCTCCTCCTTTTCATGAAAACAAGTTAACATATATTTCTGTGACAGGCTGTGGAATAAGGATGACATCTTCAAACATGCCTTTACCAGCATCCTCTTCTACTGAAAGGATTGTCCAAGGGAGGGAAATCGCTCTGGAAGGGGAGTGGCCATGGCAGGTCAGCCTCCAGCTCATAGGGGGAGGCCATCAGTGCGGAGCCAGCCTCATCAGTAACACCTGGCTGCTCACAGCAGCTCACTGCTTCCGCAAGTAAGTTCATAGGACTGTTGTGAGTCTTCCTTGCCTGGTCATCTATTGTCACCAATTCAGTGCTTGGAAGAGTCCAGCTCACCAGTTTCTCCTCTACTCCATTCAGAATGGATCCTGCTCTGCCCTCTGAATGCATTATGCTTACTCTACACCTCATTCATGCACTCCCCTCTCTCTTTTCTCAATATTTATGATGTTTGGTTTGTATCACTCTTATGGTTCCTAGCACATATTTTCCTACATTATCATGACACTAGTGCTCTCTTTCCTACTGTCTCATAAATTAGTTTAGTGTAAAGACTGACTGTTATACACATAACAAGTATAAACTCTTGCACATGTTCAAGGAGAAAATTCAGCTGCTTCTGTTAACATTCTTTTTCCCTGATTAACCCTCTATCTTCCCTGTGTCAACATCCACCATCGCTTTATAAATAAGAAAAAATGAAGGGTATCACTCTTGGAGCTCTTCCTTCAAGAACCCCTGTGGGCTGTAGGGTCCAGAGAGGTGTGTAGATGACAGGAGGGGCCTGCCACCTGTCCCACGGCCCCCACCGTATTGAAGACTGGTCTTATATGACCTGACAGGAGTGTGCTGCTTGGGCTTCCACAGCTATAGCTTTTAAGACTCAGTTGTGTCCATTCACATACATGGACCTACCCAGGCACCCTGTTGCCCCAAGAGATCAAGCACACACCATCTTTCCTCCCTGAGGTTCCTTTTAAACTCTCAAAAGACAAAAGCTCCAAAAAAAGCTCTGGCCAGTGGCACTATTCACATTCCCTTTCAGAGAAAATTGTGCTTGGTAATATGGGGCAACGCTTGACCATTCTTCCAAGGGTGACACCCAAATGGTTCCAAGGTGCCTACACCTTTCTTTATAAGTAGAAGTGTAATGAGAATGACCTAAGGAATTTAAGGTGATTGTCACTCTCTCACTAGAGAAGAAAAAAAGGATTCACTTACATACATTTACAATCCTCAGAATAACTAGCATTATGCCTTAGGGGAACTTGAGTTCCTCTAACTTAATTTTGGGGGTTCACATAGTCCTTCAATCTTCGCACTTGTTTTGGAGAGTGTCATCTATTTTAGTTTATAACTGACCTCTGTTTACATAAATTAAACATAAATAAACCCAGAATGTCAATTTATTAATATCTAGTAAAGAAAGTAAGATACAGTGATTGAAGTACACGTCTCAGCAGGTCCAGTGCAGTCTCTGTGTGACAACAGACCTAACAGGAATCGGCCACTGAGTGTGATAAAGTAGAGATAACTGGTGACCTTGATAAGAGAAATCAGTATTAGTGGTATGACAGGGACGGGAACAAATTCAAGAGAGAATAGAAGAAAGACTTGGATACTATGAGTTTAGATACCACTTTCAAGGAGGGTTTTTTTTTTTTAAGATTTTATTTATTTATTTGACAGACAGAGACAGCGAGAGAGGAAACACAAGCAGAGGGAGTGGCAGAGGGAGAAGCAGGCTTCCCGCTGAGCAGGGAGCCCTATATGGGAATCCATCCCAGGACCCTGGGATCATGACCTGAGCCGAAGGCAGACGCTTAACAACTGAGCCACCCAGGCGCCCCTCAAGGAGTTTTTAAATGAATGGGAGCAGAGAAATTTGACAGTTAAGGGTGTGGACTCGAAGGATTTTTAAAAATGTGATAGTATCTATCTATCATCTATCTATCTATCATCTATCTATCTATCTCTCTATCTATCATCTATCTATCATCTATTAGAGCTTATTTTATGCCAATAGTGATGATTCAAAACAGTTGGGAAAGGTGATGATAGAAAGGGCTCAATTTTGGGAGTGATATAATTCTGTTTAATTGCACAATGCATTATACTGCTGTGAAGGAAAAAATACAGTGTACTTTGAAGACTATATCACAATTACCCAAATAACTTTGAAATTTTTATAAGTGTATTTTTTTACAGAAATAGTGTAGTTTTAAAAATTATGTTTAAGACAAATCTTAGTACCTTTATGTCCATGTAAAATGATCCCAGTCTTTGTGCAACAGTGTGGGTGGGGACAAAGTTCCTGACAGCACATCAGGAACCGCAGGCCATCTCTCTCTGACACTAATCCACTGGATGTATCACTCACCTGGGCAAGCCATTTAACTTCTGAGTCTCAGTGTCTTTATCCATAAAGCATTGATTGAATTGGGCTATTCCATGAGGTTCCCTTTCTGGTGGACAGTGCATGAAGGGATAGGGTATTTCTATTTGATCTACTCAATTAGAGTAGTAGGACTGAAGTCATATATTTCTTTGTATCTTCCAGAATTCCAGTTTTCAAAAGAATGCTTCAACCCTAAGATTTCTGCATCAAATAAAATTTTCCTTTAAAGTATAAATAAGTAAAACAGCCTTCCCCCATCTCCAGGTCCCTGTGGTGCCCACCCCCTCTCTTTCTCTCACTCCTACATATGCCAGGCCTGCTCGTCCCTGAGGCAGTGCAGAATACTTTGAAAATCACTGATCTTTCAGGTTTTTCACTACACTTCTAAGTGTGTGAATACATGATTCACCAACACAGTAATCCTGCATGAACAAGGAAACCCCCTTACGAATTCTTCTCTGTGTGATTTCTTTCTATGTAATTTTCCTTTACATAGGCAATTTCAAGTTTCTATATATTTCTAGTCATTCTTCACAGAGATAATTAGAAAAACAGAACTGGGCTTTGGGGAAGAATAGGGAGGTAAAGAAATAATAGGACTATATAGAATTTGCTTGTAATAGAAGCTTGTGGGAGAGAAAAGCTTCTGTGTGGAGGCAGAGCCTCAAAAATACTAAGTGGGGGGGCACCTGGATGGCTCAGTTGTTAAGCGTCTGCCTTTGGCTCAGGTCATGATCCCAGGGTCTGGGATCAAGCCCTGCATCGGGCTCCCTGCTTGGCAGGAAGCCTGCTTCTCACTCTCCCACTCCCCCTGCTTGTGTTCCTGCTCTCGCTATCTCTCTCTCTGTCAAATAAATAAATAAAATCTTAAAAAAAAAAAAAAAGTACTAAGGAGGACTGACCAGGCCAGATCAAAGGGTGGGGAAGGGGAGACAGGGGTGGGAGAGAGCCTCTAACAGCGTGACATTGAGTTAGATTTGCTTTGCTCTTGACTATGGGGACAGTGTATGGGCAGAGGGCAGAGAAACAAACCCGTACAAACCCATGAACACATAAGGGTTTGTAAAGCAGGGAAGGTTACACTTTGTGTCAAAGATCACAGTAAGACATAGTAAACAAGATGAGTCATAAAGTAAGAATGGAAGGAGCATCTAATACAGAGGGAAAATGCCTCCTAGTATCTATATTATCCAAAACAAATCAAAATGAATTTCTACATGTTTCATGAAATTATAGAAGAAAGAGAATCTTTTTAACAGACAAGGAATTAAAAGATTGGCAATTCATTATAAAATATCAATTACTATTACTAATCCAAAAAAGCATGAAAATTCCATCTAGTTGCTGTGCTCTTTTTAGTTTTAGAGGATGTAAAATATTTTTAAGGGCTTTCATACACTCACTTGTCTCATTAATATTTTAAACTCTATTTGCCATAAGGCCGACAACTACAAATTCTCTCACCAGAGAGATTTTTCAGGAGCATAATCCCAATAGTTGGGAGAAATACAATCTCAGTTCTCTTTGAAAGGATGCAGTTAAACATCACAAACCTTACCTTTTAATTTTTTGCAGAAATAAAGACCCAAGTCAATGGATTGCTACTTTTGGTACAACAGTAACACCACCTGCAGTGCAACGAAGGCTGGGGAAAATTATCCTTCATGAAAACTATCACAGAGGAACAAATGAAAATGACATTGCTTTGGCTCAGCTTACTACTCGAGTTGAGTTTTCAAATATAGTACAGAGAGTTTGCCTTCCAGATTCATCTATAAAGTTGCCACCTAAAACAACTGTATTTGTCACAGGTTTTGGATCCCTTGTAGATGATGGTGAGTAGTTCAGCCTAACATACTTAGTACAAATTTATCTTGAGCACTAACGAGCTGTCCTAGGGAATCCCTTTTCAGACTTTTCATAAAAATAATGTTGATGCCTCCAATGCGTGTGGCCCAGAGCAGAACTGGAAGCAGTGGGTTAAAAAAGTAAAAGGAATCAAGTCCCTTTCCTTGAGTTCACAATTAATTGGAGCAGTGGTGAGAAAGGGGAGAGGCTAATAGAGAAGAAAAGAAGAGAGTGTTTTAGATGCTACAAGAAGGGACAAAATACTATGGGGCTACAAGGGAATAAATGATTCTAAATGGTACATTTCCCAGATGTAGAAACTCCTAGTTAGCATATACTTCAGATCACAATCTTAATGGTAGCTTTTTTTTTAAAAGATTTTATTTATTTATTTATTTTAGAGAGAGAGAGAGAGTGCATGCATGCAAGTGGGAGAAGGGGCAGAGGTGAGGAGGAAGGGAGAAGGAGAGGGAGAGAATCTTAAGCAGATTCCACAGAGCACAAAGCCCAACAGAGAGTTCGATCTCACAACCCTGAGACCATGACCTGAGTCGAAACCTAGAGTCAGGCGCTTAACAAACTGAGCCACCCACGTGCCCCAATGATAGCTTCTTTCTTTCTTTCTTCTTTTTCTTTCTTTCTTTCTTTCTTTCTTTCTTTCTTTCTTTCTTTCTTTCTTTCTTTCTTTCTTTCTTTCTTTCCTTTCTTCTTTCTTTCTTTCTTCTTTCTTTCTTTCTTCTTTCTTTTTTTTTTTTTTGGCTAAATGTTTCCTCATTTTAGTGAGGCTTTCTGATGATTATAAACTTAAAAGTGTTTTGTGAATGTTTTGAGAATTTTCATTTTGGTTAGTTGATTTAACATATATTTATTTTCATCTGTCTCACCTCCTGGGTGGTTGAAATATACCAGTTCTATAAATCTATAAGATTTCTAGTTATTAGCTCATTCCACTCTAAAGAGAGATTAATTGAATGTTTTAAAGTGGGAAATAAGAAATGTTCAAGGTTCTATCAAAGATCATCCTGAAGAAAGTAAGAGACAAATGCTAATATATCTTAATCTGGCTTTTTTTTTCCTTTGCTTTTCTTTTTTTAAAAGATTTTATTTATTTATTTGAGAGAGAAAGAGAGAACATGAGCAGGGGATAGGGGCAGAGGGAGAGGGAGAAGCAAACTCCCTGCTGAGCAAGGAGCCTGATGCGGGACCCTGAGATCATGACTTGAACTGAAGGCAGATGTTAACCGACTGAGCCACCCAGGCGCCCCTGGCTTTTCTTTACTTGACAGAACTCTATTATATGTAAAATTTCCCAAATGCCCAATGCCTGTCCAACTGGACTTTGTGAAATGTTGTTATAAGTCTCCTTTCATGTTCTCTGCCCTTATAACTAGATTAAGACTACTCACCAACAGCTTCAATCTGGAGTCTTAAGCTACTTCCTTTCCTTTTCATAACCTCCAGCCTTGCTTTCTACTGGCATCAGATTGCTGGCATACCTTGGGCACTGGTTCTGTTTCCCATGCTTTAAGACATTCCTAAATAACGCACTACAGCATGGAATAGGGCAAATAGCGCTGTGCAGCTCATGCACTGGTTTCTGCTTGAATATCTTTCAGAAAATAAATATACTTCCCTGAGCCTTGATTTCCTTATACGAAAAAGGTACCAGTTGGTCAAGATGAGTGGGGTGAACCCTCTTCTCATGAAAAAAAAGTGTATACACAGACTATTACATATAGTTGTAGGGGTTCTAATAACTTGAAGATTCACAAATATGATATAATATTGGGGTATGTATGTTTATAGTTCCTTGCATTTAGGCATTTATGAAACAGAACATAAATTAGGCAATAATGAATTATAATTAATGTTAATAAAGTAATCTTTTGTTTTTGTGCTTTTGTTCCTAGTAATATACAACATATGTGTTTTTCATGTTTTAAATACAGTTATATTCAAAGAACACATTTTTTGTTTGTATGTGTATGTTTGTTTGTGTAATAGGACCCACACAAAATAAACTTCATCAAGCCAGGGTGGAAACCATAAGCACTGATGTGTGTAATAGAAAGGATGTATATGATGGCCTGATCACTTCAGGAATGCTATGTGCTGGATACATGGAAGGAAAAGTAGACGCATGTAAGGTAAGTCCAAAGTCAAGGTCAAAACTTGGAAAGGAAAATTTCCATTAGCTATTTCTAGCATGGCATATATTTCCCCTGGAAGAGGAAAAAAAAAAAAAAGTCATCCAATTCACCAAGAATTCAGTTTATTTAATAATCATAATATTAAAAATTCTTGTATTGAGTGTTTACTGTATGCCAAGCTAAGTGCTAAGCATGTTATATATAATATTTAATTTAATATAGTGAAATTGAAGAGGTGCTATTATTATGCCTATTTTACAAATTAGGAGATTAAAGTCTATTGCTCCCTATTTCTGGTTCAAACAATTACTCTTCTGTTCTAATATTTTCTTAAACAAAATTGGAAACAAAAGACAGAGAAACCTGTCCTCTGAGGACCACTTTATTCAGCTTTGGCATCATCTCTCATGCATCTTGTTTTCATCCCCTGGCCTCCAAGTCTCTCGCTTTGTCCCTCTCACTCTTCAATGACCTTGACACCTGAAACAGGTTTCCTCTCCATCCCAAGCCTTTGGTACTAACACTGACCCATTGAAATGCTGGACTTTTAGTTCCTAGACCTTCTAACCCCCAGTGATCTTTGCTTCCTCTCAGTCACCATTTCTAGGGTCACATCTTGAGCCTTGTCACCAAAAATTATTGCATCTTCAAAAATACTAATTCCCCAAATCTTCCTATTTAACAGCTATCTTCAATCCTTCCTGCCTGCATGTCAAGCTATTCCTGCTCCCTAGGCCGCACTCTCTATGCTACTGCCCGACCTGTCACTCCTCACCCCCCCAAACTTATACTACACATATGTAGATTGTGTCTTTTGTTTTATTTTGCCCTTTAGCTTTTATCACCATCCAGTATACAATATATTTTATTTAGATGGTTTATTGTCTGTCTCTCCCACTAAACTAGAATATAAACTTCATGAAGGTACAGATTTTGGGGTTGTCTATCTGATTTACTACTATATTACCTAACACAGTCTTAAGATGGAAAATATAACTTCTAAGAAAGACCCACAGGGTTCCTCAAGGGCTAGTTCTCCTGACCTCTCCAGCCTCATCACACACCACTTGCCCCATTGCTGTCTTCTCTTCAGTCCTCGTTTTTTTTTTCCTCCCAGATTTTTGCATATGCCAGGCTCCTACATGCCCCAGAGCATTTGCAGAGCCATTCCCTCTGCCTAGAACATGTTATAGCCCCACCTTCCTTTTCATGTCTAAATCCTTTAGATATCAGCTCAATTACCTCTCATCAGGAAAAACTTTCCTGACCTCCCTGACCAGTCACATTTCCCTTGTGTATGTTTCCATAGCGCTTATCATAGTTGTCACTTTGCATTTATTCATGGGCTTTGTTTAATATTGTTTTTATAACCTAAACTTCAAGTTTGTGAGTATGAAGACCATTCACTTTCAGTCATCATTGAATCCTCAATGCCCACCAGAATGCCTGGGACACATAGTTGGAACTCAATAAGTAGTTGATAAAAGAATAAATGAATGAGGTGGAAGAGGCACAGAGAAGTATCTTACCCTAATTCATACAGCCAGTAATTAATAGAGCTAGTCCTGAAACTTAGAAGTTCAACTACCAAGACCATACTCTCAACCTCTACATATATATCTGTTTAGTTACTTAATTGTCCTTGTTCCAAAACAGATTTAAGAGGGCTTATATAAAATTAAGCAAACAAGCATAAATTAGAGTTGGGTGCATGAAAGACAAGGAGACCAAGAATCGATCTATAGTATAGAGTCTAGCTAACAGTATTCAGAGATCACCAAACTTTCCACCTATGCTTGCAAATGCTAACTTCATATTTAATATTTTATATCATACTTACTAAACGATGCATGAAGTGTCTAATCAAACTAACAAAAAAATCCAAGAATGTTGAACCATAAATAATGTAACCATTCCATGTGAATAAGGTTTAGCCTTTCTAGAAACAATGCATTTTAATGTTTAGGGCAAAATTTTAACTCAATTCAGAGAAACATTATATCATCTATCTCTAGTCTGGCTTCCTATTCCATGTACCAATTTTTTTTTTCCTGTGGAAGGGAGATGATTGCAATGACCTTCCTCCTGAATTAAATTAGAATTAATAATTTTAAATATATTTTTGTTTTTTCTCAAGGGCGATTCTGGTGGACCGCTGGTTTATGGTAATCATGACATCTGGTACTTAGTTGGTATAGTAAGTTGGGGACAATCATGTGCTCTTCCCAAAAAACCTGGGGTCTACACCAGAGTGACTCAGTATCGAGAATGGATTGCCTCAAAGACTGCTATCTAGTGTGAATTGCCTATGAACTATATCCATGGCACACGAAGCTGAAATGCCTGCATATTGTATATTATTTATAGTTATGTGGTTTGGATCAGTGCTTTTTCTGGATGTCAAGAAATCCTCCAACTCAGACCAATCTAATATCACAAGGTGGTCTTTGCATACAAGTGACTGAAGTCTTTCTCTACCTTGAGGGAGGAAAACATAGCAAATATCAATAACACTGAACTCCTCACTCACAAGAGAAACTGTGATACTTATTAATGAGTATTTATAAATGGTTTCCCCCAATGGAAGACAAGGAACATCATTTTTCACAGGATATGAGGAGTTGCTAGGGCTGCCAAAAACTTATATATAATAACCTGGATCACCTGTAACTCTTGTTGCAAAATATCACTCCCTGAGAATTCAGTTTCAACATTTTAGGACGGATGGCTGGTCATTCAATGGCTAGAATGGAGAAGCATGGATTTACAATATACCTTGAACTCCAACCTGGATTTGTAAATAATAATACAAAGGATTATCATTAACAAGAAGAGTTGCCATTTCAAACATGTTTGAGTGTATCTGAACTTACTGGAAATATTGTTATACACACAAGAACTAGCTTCAGGATGCATGTTGTATTTTTAAGAAGCATTTCTGATTTATTCTTTAACAGCATCTTGCCATCCATATATCAATTGAAGTTAAGCCAGAAAGAAGAAAAAAGAAGAATCTTGGGAGCATTTTTCCATGTGTACAAGGAAGATAAAAAGAACTGATGGGACATAGACAAGCAGAGTTGCTTTCAAAAGATTAACAGCAGGGAAAACACTCCTCAGATTTTTGGTGGAATGGGCTATCCAATTATTTATTTAGAAATATCTACATCCAGCAGATGGTAACTGGTGCTTTTGTAAGTCTTCAGCTCTCTGACAGGTCAGATATCTATCAGGTTGGGATAATTGATTCGTATAAGCACTTAGAACAGTACCTCACATATATTAAGCACTGCATGGATGTTTCCTGTATATGGAGGAAAGGAAAGCCTCTGTGAGCCTTAAGATAAATTAACTTAATTTGTCAAACGAGTAAGTGACTTTGGGGCTTAAATACAGCCCAGAGTCTAGTGGTGGAGAGCACAAGCTTTGGAACTAGGCTGCCCAAGCTTAAATGTTGGCTCTGACCCATATGAACTATGTGTCCTTGCACAGGTTTCTTAACATCTCTTAGCACTTTCACCTCCACAATAGGAATAAAAATAGTATCTACCTCATATGGTTGTTATGAGGATTAAATGTATTCATAAAAGTAAAGCACTTGGAACAGTGTCTGCATACAGTATCTCAATATGGACTAGCTACTATAAATTATTATTAATGTGCCTTGGACTCCAAAAACCATATAATTTTTAAAAATTGTTCCTTCTTTGGGCTCCTGGGTGGCTCAGATGGTTAAGCGTCTGCCTTCGGCTCAGGTCATGATCTCAGGGTCCTGGGATCGAGTCCCGCATCAGGTTCCCTGCTCAGTGCAGAGCCTGCTTCTCCCTCTCCCTCTGCCACTCCCTCTGCTTGTGCTCTTCTGTCTATCTCTGTGTCAAATAAATAAATAAAATCTTTTTTTTTTAAATTGTTCCTTCTTTAAATTCATGTAATTGATTTCAGAATGCTTAAATTACACTATGAAAAATCCCTAAGTGATTTACTAGATTTTCAAAATCATTTCTGATATGTCAATCTATTTGGGACTATGTCTGCTCAGAGACAAAGCTGCAGGTGCGTGGTCATCTGTCACTAGGGTTGTGACTACAGAGATGCAGCAGTATTCATCTTCAGGGCGCAGATGTGAGACCTCAAGTGCTAGATTTGTTCTGATTTATCAGAGAAAAATCTAGCCTTTCTGTTTCTTTAATGACAAAGTTTTGTTAACTTATGTGTATGTGGGTTTAGCGCAATATATGTAAACAAGATAAATACCACTTTAAAAATTTCCTAGTTATTATTTACATCTTAATATTAAGATATAATAGACACAAAAGGTCATCCATGTACACTTTCTTTTTAAAAAGAAAATGTCACCAAATTTCTGAGTTGATGACTACTAATAACTAAATATCAATAGAAAAAGCAGAGTAAAAACTTAAATGTTACACTTCTTTCTATATGCAGAGAAACACCCAAAGCTTTCTGGAGAATATTTAGCCAATTTAAGATGTGTTTGATTGAAAACAGACCTTTTTATATTAAAGCTAAACACAGTCTTTGGTAGAAACAGGAAAACAAATCTGTCTACAAAATAAATTTCTACTATGTAAATTCTGTAACAATGAATATGTGCTTTCATGTAACTATATCTACATTTCATAAGACAGTTTTTTTGCTAAGTTTCTGTGAAACTGTACACTGACTTAAATAATTCAATGCTCAATTCAATTCAATGACATTTAAACACAAATGAGAAGAATAAATACAAAAGGCCATAAGTAAATCTGAGAAATGGAAAAGTAGATTTTTAAAACAGGATTTATATGTCCTATATTTAGTTTGATATCTGACCTTTTAAGTGGTGTTATAGGAATCATGCAATACCTTTTACCTCTACCAAATGGGACATTAAATGATCTACCTCATGGCATTGTTGTGAGGCTTTCCTGTTGAATAAGAAGTTGAAAAGTCAAAGAATGTTTAAAGCCTGCTAAAAAATATAAAGTGTATCATTGTAAACTGTTATCAGTACAGATGATGGTGCAAATACATTTAGATTGTAAAAAAGGGCTTTTTTTTTTTACAGTGTTGACATTTTTATTTATCAATAGTATTGCCTTGTGAATTTTGCTGAAATATTGTGGTTAAAAAAAAAAAAAAAGCAGACCTGGTTTTGCCTCCTGTGTTGTAAATGTTATAGTAACACTCGCATCTTTAAAACACACACACACAGACACACACACACACACACAAACTACAATTTGTTTGATACATTGTTTTAAAAGACAGGTCAAATCCATTAAGATGACAGTAAACAATATAGCACATAATCCCTTTAGAATCCTGATGGAATTGGGGTGCCATGAGAATTAAAGCATTAGTTTTTAATGCTAGAGCAAGACGACCAAAATTTTTGCAATGTTTAACCATCTCTCAGTGAAATTCATAATTCCACAACAATAAGGACAAAAATATATTAATGGGAATCTACCCTTTTCAACTGAATACATCTGTCACTTTGTTAATATGTTTGTTTGAGGGAGAGGGGATATGTCTAAGGCATCCCTTCATGCAGTCATGAAAATGAAAAATAAGCCTTGGCTAGTCTAGTCTTCTCCCCACTACTCTCATCTGAGTTATGTGGGTGTCACTAGCCGAGAACATTGCAGTTCTAGAAGTCACTGGAATTAGACTGTTGCCAATCCAATGTTTCTCCTTGCAAAAAAAAAAAAAATGTGTGTGTGTGTGTGTGTGTATGTATGTATGTATATATATGAGGTAAGTTAAATTCACATGGTTTTCAGCAAAGTATCACTGGACCAAAACAATTTTACAATTACAACAAACAACACCACTTAAAAGTATATTCATCTATACCTGGGGTTAATTTTAATGAGGCAAACGTGCAGAGCTAGTTAAATTGGCAGTAATTTAAAGCCTTAATATGGTATAAATTAAAAATCTATACTATTTTTAAATGAAGAGCAGCAAAAGATTTTGAATTCTACTAAAACAACAAATGTCTGTTTTTCTTTTTGCTCTTTTTACTGTCGCATTAGAAAATCCATTTTATAAACAAATATAACTACAGAAAGCCCATTAAAATGCAGCAAATTAAAATTTTTGATTAAGCTGTTTTTATAAATACTTACAATAAACATTCTTTTACAGGTTTCAATATTTGCCTTGCCTTAAAATTTTAACTATAGCTAATAAGAAATGAGAGCAATGCAATCATGTCTTACAATTAAAAAAAGAAATAAAACTTTGCTTCCTGCTGCCTTCAATCTGTGAAATGGAACGTTAATCTATCTACCTCATGATGTTTATGAAACTTCCTGTTGAATAATAACATCCAAAAGTCAGAGAATGTTTAAAACCTATTTGAAAAGTGCAAAGTGTATTACTGGGTACTGATATCAGCACAGTTGATGCCAAACTTGCCCTAAGATTGTCATTAAGTTTGGGGCACCTGGGTGGCTCAGTCGTTAAGCATCTGCCTTCGGCTCAGGTCGTGATCCCAGGGTCCTGGGATCGAGCCCCGCATCGGGCTCCCTGCTCGGCGGGAAGCCTGCTTCTCCCTCTCCCACTCCCCTTGCTTGTGTTCCCTCTCTCTCTCTCTCTCTCTCTCTCTCTCTCTGTTGAATAAATAAATAAAATCTTAAAAAAAAAAAAAGATTGTCATTAAGTTTTTATAGTGTTACCATTTTCATTTATTAATACTGTTGCTTTGTATATTTTGCTAATACTACTGTTTTGTTGAAATTATATTTAGCATTTTCTTGAAAAGAAATAATATATAATACAACTCCTGTATATTATTATTAATATTAATTTATTGCAAAAAGAAAAATAGGCAAATGAAATTGGTTTTCACTTGATAGCTTTAAGAATGATTATAATCCAGGGGCACCTGGATGGCTCATGATTTCAGTTCAGGTCATGATCTCAGGGTCATGAGATCAAGTCCCCCATTGGGCTCTGTGCTCAGTGCAGTCTGCTTGTCCCTTTCCCTTCCCCCACTTGCGTACTCTCTCTCTTTCTCAAATAAATAAACAAACAAAATCTAAAAAAATAAGAATGATTATAATCCAAAGCATATTCTATTATAATATGTTGGAGAACTCTATAATCAATCTATTGGGAACATTTTTTTTTTCTACTGGGAACATTTTAAAAGTTATTATGTAGTTGACTGTGGAAAGTATCAAAATTAGTCCAAAGTAAGCATTTAACAAAGTATATTTTAAAAACTCTGCTTTGTAGTATTTTAGTCTATATTCTGGATTATTAAAAGTTCTTTAAGTAACAAAG